GAAACAATTTTGGTAAGACAGAAAAAAATACTAATGTTGGGCAAAAAAAAAAAAAAAGACAGATCTTCTAGATATTTTGTTCATTTTACAAAGAAAATGAAATAACGGTCAAAATTTGTGGTGAAAGCACAGTTTCAGTAGCTCCTTTCAGGAAACATTCTGTGTGCTTTCAATTACAAACCAAATTGTCCCTCATGCATTTCAAACTCCATACACAAATTACCTTTTTGCTTGAACCTTTTCCTGTGAAGTCTCTTGCCAGAGGACACTCTTCTGTAATGACAACATATGTGGTTACTTAAGGTGTTTTTGACATACAAGTCAAAGACTAAGACTAATACTGAGGCCTCTGAGGTACTTGCTGGGCTTCTCTGTGGTGCTCGATTACTGATGTGTTTTGGAGCTTGTTGGTGCTTAATTCATGAAACTTATATTTATAAATTCTGTGTTCTTCACAACTGATACTTGTCTGTTAAAAGTGCTAAATGGAGGGAGAATTAGGCCTGTATCTTGAATACCTCTCTTAACTGAGAAGTTAAATTCTAATGCACCTATTTTATGAAGAAACTTTATTGAATACGGAACTCGCATAGCTATTGAGTTTTATTGTTTCCCATAATTCTTCATTTCACATGCTTTTATTCATTATTTCATTTCTTCAAGCTATTCACAGAGAAATTTTGTCAAATCTTAAATGGTTCTTATAGAGCTTGTATCTAGATGAGATGGTAGTGGATCATTAAACGACAACCAATGGCAATATGACTTTTAGATTCCTTCCTAGAAGCTTTTTTTATTTTACTAGACACTGGAGCCAAATATAGATTTTTTTTTTTTGTGTTGGTCAATTTATAGTTTCCAGATAGATAGTTTGATCAGGTTTTCTTAAATACACTTTCTTCTAAATTACTGTGATACCATTTTGGCTGGGGTTAGATGGAAAGGGATAGAAAACAGGAAAGAGCTTATATATTAGAAAGAAATTAATTCCTACATGTTACATCTTTGTAATATTCTGATTAAGTATGATTTGGTTAATATTTTTAATGGTAGTTTTGGCTGAAGAAACAGTGTTCTTTAGACACTTCTGGTAAGTGGGTGTGCTTTTATATAAATGAAATGATCGATTAAAATATTAATATGCTCCCAGTTTAAGTTTTCATGTTCAGGCAGCTGGTAGTGTAGAATACCAAGAATTCCTTTGCCAGAAGGATGGAAATAGTCTGCTTTTTTGAATTACTTCGGAGAAGCAGCAACTCTTATGCCACTGCTTGCTGTGATTTACAGATTTGTGCATTCTAATCAGAAATATAAAAAGCTAGGTGTACTCATAGAATGGTTTTTCACTTCTGTAGTTACGCAGCCTCATGTACAGTTCTTCTCCCATTGGTTATTAGATTCTGATATCTTTGTATTATGTCTTTATTTCTTAAATTTTTGAGAGTTTTACTGTTTCATTTTCTTTCTGTTCTTTAATCAGTAAAAGACTACTGGTTGAAATGCAAGCACTCACTGACAGTTTCATGGCTTGGATGATATCCCTAAACTGCCTGTTTGTCTGCAAAAGTCCTTTTTTATTTTACCACTTTGTGTAACACTAGTTGAGGCAGTTTTGTGTAAATACAAGGTAAAATGTTGTACTGCATTGACAGTGTTGAGGTAAACTTTTATTAAGACTTTCACTTCACTCCCATCTAATCAGAACAACAGATTCATTGATGTCTTAGCAACCATGGTAAAATACACCAGAAACAGAATGAAAGAAAGATGAGGTTGTAGCATCTTGGCTTTCCTCCAGCCAAGTGATGAAATGTTGTACAACAAAGCTGAAATAAAAAGGCAGTTTTGTTTCGGCTTTAATTAATAGTATGTTAATATAGCTGGTGCTGTGTAGTGCAGGTGTTGAATACCAGACTGTAATGAGAAAATCTTGCAAGGTATTGGTATCAGTTTCTCAACAAAAGAACAAAACTCTTCTTTCACCTTTTTTAAAGGAAGTTTGTAATATGAGCTGCCTCTTCTTGGAGTTTTTTTGATGTTTAAACTAGTAGTAAAAGTGGGTGCTGAAATTTCTTGAGACCAAATGAAATGATAATGTTGCATTACAGAGACATGCAGAAGGAGAAAGCCAGTCTTAAGACTTTTTTTGTCTAAAATTAAGAGTATTAGAGAATGTGAAGATCTAATTACCTGTCAATTTAGCATAGGTGTGTTAATCATCCTAACAACTAACCACCATTATGAATTCCCAGTGCTGATTGTGTGGTGTGGGCATCTGATTATGCAAAATTATAATTAATGAGTGTATAAGAAGTGGTTGCTCAGATGTACTAGCAATTGCAGTGAAACAGTTGTCAGGGGATGTAATGAAAGTTTAATTCCATCTCTGAGTGATTAGTGGTTTAGGCCTCAATGGTTACACAACTGATGGCAAAAGGCTGATGGCATCATGGATATGAACAGCAAAAGCTCCGTGTGATTGAATGCAGGCTTGGGTGTTTGTTTTTTTGCAGTTTGTGTGGATTTTTTTTTTTTTTTTTTTTTTTTTTTAAAAAAAACAGACCAAACCAAAACAAGAAAAAATTAAACCATCGCCTCCAGGGTTCATTGGGCTTTAAATTGGAAATTTAAAAGATAAAGCAGTATCATTCCAAAAATGATGTAATAAATAAAAGTCTGATTTGAAATTTGAATCTGTTCAGATGACCTCAGTCAGTAAAAAGATCGGTGTAAGTTATTATACTCATAGTATCTCTGAATCAGTACCCCAAAAATACTTCCCCAAATCAGTAATCCAAAAGAAAAAACATACATAGCATAACATAAGTTCAAGAATTCAGCCTGGTGTGAGTCTCCAAACATTTGAAACTGATTGGAAGAAAACCCACAGAAAATAATAAAGTGGGAGTGATATTCTGATTCTCCAGAATCTTTGTCTGCATCGTTTTACCATTAGGAATAGGAAAGAAAAGCTTTTAAATCAGCCAGAATCAGATTGATTCATAAAGCAAACAGGAAACGTGTTATGAGGCAAGGCTTCATGCTATGATAGACATCTAGGGAAACTCATCGTTGGCAGTCTATTTGTCTTTGGCTTAGGGGGTGGAAACTCTGGTTTGTCTCCCTGGATAATGTATGGAATCCTGTTTGTATTCCAGTGCAGTTTATATGGCCTTGGGGAGCAAAGTCTGATCTTAAAATTAGCTGTAATTTTTGCTGATCAGATAATGGTGTGACTGGCCAGCTATTTTTCCATGGCTTTTGTAGGAGGATGTTACGACAAATTTGTGACATACTGTTTTTTCTAAAACATTTGCATAGTGTACTTGTTTCATCTGAGATAATCAGCATGTGGTGATTGGGAGACTCCCTCTGGATAGGTGACTTGCAAAGATTTTTCTATTTTAAATGTGGATAATTAGTTTTAAGTACAAAAACCAAGGTGAACACACTGTTCAGATATGCTTTCTTAAATGGCCAGTGCAAAAACAGAAATTTCCTGTTCTCATGTTCTAAATACTATGCATATATTTACTAGTGAAGGTAGTATATGTAATATTTGCTACAAAAACAACTTACTTAACTGTAAGTATGCATTCTGACACTTGCACCTAATTCAACTCCTGCAAACAGTGCTGTGTTTTAGCACGGTCTTAAGCAATAGGCTGTTTCAGGTTGGAATCTATTTTAGCAGTCTGTCTAACCATTAAGTTTTTATACATCCCTTCCATAAAATCTACAGAGAATGAGCAAAACATAATAGGCAAGACAGAGTATATCCAACTCTCTTCTTTGTAAGAGGATTTATATTTCCGGGGAATCCAAGAGGTTTAGTCATTGGCTGTATTAACACTGTTAGCTACCGTAAAAACACTGAATGTTTGCAGTGTGTGATAGTAAAGAGAATGAGGATGATTACGTGTATTTTTTTTTTTTTTTCTTTTTTTTTTCTTTTTTTTTTCTCTCAATGTATGTGGGGGATCTGGAAGAAGCATGATTTGGAAGACATACTAGCTCAGATTCTGGGGTGAGCTAAGCATTATTTGCAGTGAATGAACTTAGATACAAGGCATAAACACGCAGTTCATGGTCATGAAATTAGTGCGTGCAGAGCACTGATGTGCAGGAAGAACAAGGTGAAAAAGATACCTGCCTTGATAGTTCTGTCCTTTAGAAGTGACCTGTGCATGGCTAAATCTGTCCTGCTTCAGTATTGCTTTCTTATTAACTGCTCAGCTGTGTGAGAGGTATGGGTTCTTAAGGGATGATGTTTCATGACAACTCTGCATTGTTCTGAGTTGATGCAAACTTTTTACTGAGATACCTCAGACAAAGGTACAGCTCCTATGTTTTGTAAGACTGAATGGTGCCATCTTTGTCCTCACTGTTTATAAAGACCAGTATACATTAATTCTGTTAACTGTATGCCTTACGTAATGATTAAAGTCTATTTTCCTCTTGTATGTGGTGTAAAATAAAAAATAAATGAAAATGGGAAAACCAAAATGTAATAGCTGCACTCGAGGGTGTTGCATCAACCCACTACATCATTACTATCTTTAAAATGTCAAATTTAAATATAATGTCTTTAAATGACTTATTTCAGATATCAGTAGATAAACTAAAAGAAAAGAACAGTAACAGATTCTGAGTGACTTCTAAAAGCATTTGATTTAGTAGCACAGCTGAGTGGATTAAATTTTGATATCTGTGCAGAAACAGCAGGATTGTATTTGGACTAAGAAATTACTTGCTGGCTTTGTCACAGTTGACGTTAATTATTGATGGGGGTTTCAGTAATAGCGCATGTGCCAGCAGAGTTGACTGTAATATAAGATAGGAACGGCAGTGATGCTAGAGGGATTATAAGAGGGGGAAGCACCTGTAGCATTTAGAGTTGCATGCTCTGGTCATCAGTCTTTTGCTGCAATACGTTCATGACTGATTAATATAATGCAAAGATGAGTCGTCAGGCTTATTTCTATCGTGTTCCTCCACAGGAATTACATAGAAGAACTCAGCTTCAGCCTGAGCCAGCAAAGACGAAGGCTCTTCAAACAGTTATTGAAATGAAGGTATAGTGTTTGCATGTTTTCCTTTGCATTATTTTTTGTAACTTGAACTCATGTACTAGCTCTAGCTATAATGGAGTTAGTTTTCCTTGCAGCAGCCTGCAAGGTACTCTTTCAGATTTGTGATCAAAACAGAGTTGTTAACACTCTGATATTTTAGTTATTGCTGAGCTATTCTAACACAGCATCAGGGCTTTGTTTCTCGCTCTGCTTCCCCAGCTGGTGGATTGGGGTGGACAAGCAGCAGAATGGGAATACAGCCAGGACAGCCAGCCTCAGCTGACCTGAGAGATATACTGTATGTTATGTTCAGCAGTAAAACTGAAGTGGGGACAGCATTCAGAGTTATGGCATTTGTCTTTAATGTGTGCTTGGTTTTGGAACGTGATTTTAAGCGTTTTTAAGCATCGTGAAGACCTGTGGAATCATGGTGAGAAAGATCTGTAGATGAAGACACGCTTAGGCCAGGAGGACTCAAAGAACTGCATGTGGTAGCATTACAAATGGCAGCTACTCTTATCTATGCTGATAATTTTCTGGGTGTTTGGTGTTGAATTGGATATTACCCTGTCCCTGCATTAAAGAAGTATTCTCTTTTGAAAATCGTACTTGTGGTTTGCCAGGACTGACAGTGCTAGCTACAGCCAAGTCAGAGTAGAAGCACTGGTTGGTGGTGAGGTGTGCATTTCAGATATTAACTCAACTTTGTGTAATCTATTTTCTGTTTGTCAGTAAAATTCACTTGTAGGTTTTATTTTACTTTTATAACCAGACCAACAGTTCTTCATTCTACAGATTACTGGGTTCTCAACATCTTACTGAAATGTTTAAATGAGTGCTGACAATCAACTGTCCTTATTTTGTTTTCTTGATAAGACTTGGTTAAAAAACAGGCACAGCATTGCTTGTTTTGAGTAAGGAGAATTTAATATTCCTTTTTAAAAGAGTCAAAAATCAACATCAAAATGCAAAACAAAACAAAGCAAACAATGCACCTCCCAACCCAACAACAAAAGCAAGACCAACCAACCAACTTAAAAAAAAAATAAAAATAAAAAAAATTTCAGGAGGGCCAATAATATGTCTATTGATTGTTATTTGGTCACTGTTTTACATCCAACTTAAGGAAAGCATTAACTTCATCAGCAGTGTGATGCAACAAAATGTGATGAAACAACTCTTAGTCATAAGCACAATTTCCTCTTTTTGGTGTATAATATTACTGAAATGTTTTGTCTTTTCTTCCTACAATAAGAGAAGAAAAGCTTATTTGAAAGGGGAAAACTGATATTTTCACATAACTCCCTGAATCTGGAATCTGTCTTGAAGAAAAATACCATACACAAGATAATTTGTGAGTTGGCAGTGCTGTCTGAAACACACTAATGATGGTCTTTCATTTCAGTCTTCTTAAAAGGGAGTGCAAATTAAAGGCCTCACTTTGCCAGTGACTTCTGTTATGAGCAAATGAGTTCAGCATGTCTGGACATTGCAGTAAACACACAGTAATAACAGCAACAGTACTTTCCAAATGCTGTATCTGCTTTTTTAAGTAATCTAATTAGCTTGGATTATATGAACAATGGAAAAGGTGCATCAATTTCAGTATTCCATATTCTTTTATGTATTTCCCTTGGACCTTTACTGTTTATTCCAGTTCATAAGTCTATATGAAATTTCAAATGTGTGTTTTTGCAAAATCTTGTTATCTCATCCATGTGCAAAAGTAAGGAGCTGGCTGAGAAACAATTTTCTTTCTGTTATTTTTCTATCTTACAAATTTAAAACTTTGGGGATATTGAGATAGAGGGTTTAGAATATTTTATGATCTTCCATGTGGATTATCAACATTTTAAAATTTATGTTTTCAAAATAACTTGCAATTCTGCTTTGTGTACCAAAATTCTTTGGAAAGGACGAGGAAATGCGGATGGGGACATATCTGCAATATCAAAATATAATGATATAGTTAGAGCTACTCTGCCAGTCCCTGTTCATGAAGAGCTTTCATTTGCTAGGAGTGAGATTGTAGTCATGATGCAGAGCTGCTTCTGGGCTCGGCTCTGGGGCATACAAGTCTTCCTTTTGCTATGACCATACACAGCTTTAGGATTGCCCTGTTCTAAAATAGGCCTAATATTGAAAAGGGAACAAATGTAATATGTTGAAATTCACATGTCTAAAAATCAGCTTTCATTGTAAATTCCAGCTTTGGAAAGCTTGCAAGTTAATTTCAATTGTTTTAATCCAGACAACATTTGTTTTGAAAACAACAAAAAAAACCCACAAGAACAAAGAAGCTGAACATTTGTTTTAAATAATCAAAGACTGAAGCAATGATTTCCCTGCAGTATTGAGTATAGGAGGAGGGAGAAGTTTACCTTCTAATATAGCAAACCGTGGCTGTACCCTGCCCTGTGCAGAGGGCCTGAGCAGGGAAGTTTGAGTGTCAACTGATATAGTATTGTATTGAATCACAATGAATTAGGAAAGGCATTCTGACTGGTTTTCCTCAGTGTAGTATTACAAAGACCATAAAAAGTCAGTGAATTATTCTCATCCATTCCAAAATGAATAACTCGGGTTGTAACTAAGGCAGAGAACAAGGTTAAGAAGGTAGGCAACTTAAAGGTAGCACCACTTCTTCAGCACCTTAGTTGCTATCAGCTGCTATGAGAGCGTTTAAAGAATACTTTTCATATGAATAACTTATAGCTGTGGAGGTTGCTGTTAGGTTAGTCAGTTCATATATTGGAAAGCGTAGACTTCTCTTACACAAGTAATTATTGAGCAGTTGCCTGCAGTTGTGGATATATTGCTTACAGTATACAGATAACATGAAATAGGAATTACAGTACAAGAATTTTTACTGACAATTAGGCACGTAAGAAAGACCTGGTTTAGTTGTTTATAAACTAAGGATGTTTAAGAACTAAGGATATCAGAGGATAACAGTTGGTTTAAATGTGTAACAGAATTTTGAGTAAGTTGAGCCAGAGTTGGATACTAGGTGATATTTGTTGTGTTTTATACAAGTGTTCTATAAAGTAAGAAGGTCAGATTCCACCCTGCCTCATCTCTAAGAGCTTAATAAGGAGTGTAGGAGAGTTCAGTTACATTTGGCTCAGTCACCATCACTACTGAAAGGCTGTGTTTTCTTTCAGTGTCTGTGAATTAAAAAATAAGGTGTTGATAAACAGGGAAGTGTTCTGATAGGAGCCATCAGAATGTTTAAAATGATTATCAGATGTATTATAATGAATAACTTGAGTTTAGCTTTGTGTATAGAGACAGAGCCCTGCAGAGAGACCAAACTGTAGTCTGTATACCTACATGACATATCTTTAATACAAAAGAGGTCTCTCCAGGCCTGAAAATAAATAAATCACAAAATACAGCGTGCTAAGGTTAGAGATAGCAAGTATACACTAACATAAGGTGCAAATAAATATTTAACAGTGTTCATATGATTTTATTACTTGTGTTGCACAGAAAGCCAGGCGAGGGTTTTGTTTTGTTTTTTTCTTTTTTACAACTGTTGCTTGAGACTTTGTGATACATGATCAAATAACATATTTTTTTCTCATGCCGAAGTCTTTGTTTGCTTAAGCATAAAATAAGCCTGGTGTATTGAAATATATTCCTTTAATTGACATTGCACCCATGCATCCTTATATTTTGTTTGTAGGCAGATGCCAGATCGCTGGGATCTTTGATTATGACTCATATCCAAATTGTTTACCATTCAAAATCATTTACAAATCAAAAAGAGTGAAAGGAAACATTCTTCATTATTTCATTCTTGGTGGAAATATTCCTGAACACCTCAATCAGGTCAAAATTTCAATATTTTTTTCATGTATTTCCAGACTTAAATCAGTGATTCTGAGAAAGTCAGAAATAAGATGCCTAATGATGAGGCGTGAAGCCTAACTGCAGAGTACTGACTATTCTGAAACTTATATACTCTAGCAACAAGAATTGAATTCTTTAAAAATAGCAAGCTGTAATTCAAAATATTTATGGTTTACCTTGATTGCAGAAAGAGCCACTTTTATGTATTGATCCAGCTGTGATATTTCAGGTATGAATTTGGTTCTGAAAATGTGTGTTATGTGTTTGCAGTGCAATATACTCCTATTTTTAAGACTGCATGAGCTTTCACTTTCCCTTGTCTTTGGAAATAAACCCCAGTATTCTCGATATTAGTTTGAAAAAGTTTACAGTAAGACTAGTTGAATATAGAGTTTGTGTATATTGGCATTTACTTGCAAGTTCTAGTAAAAGTGATTTTTCATTTATTTGCTGCTGATTCCTTGTAGAAAGCATAATTTGTTAAATATATCTGCTGTTTGAAATTGTGTAAGTGTAGCAATTCATTACTTACCAATTCAGAGAATGAAAGACTGGTATGCTGTATTTTTCACTAAAGTTTTGCCTTACTTGTCCTTTCCTAAACGTTCAGGAAATGTACTGTCGCTCCTTGTTTTTGGGGTAGGGACTGGATTTATAAGTTAACTTGAAACACGACTTATTACTGAATGGAAACTCATCTGTAGTAGCACTCTCCTTTGCATTGTGAAATGTCGTTTTCTTTGTTAGCATCAGGACAAAAACAAGTTGAGCTTTGTGTTCCAGAGAGTTGAACTTCTGCTAGACCAAGGATAGATAAAGCCCTATCTTCTCTTGCAGATTGTCTGAAACACTGTTTAATAAAATAGATGAAGTATCAATTACTGCTGGAAGAAATGGATAGTCTTACCAACAGAGATTTAGGAGGCTTGACTGAAAAAATGCAAAATGGTAGAGTGCAGAAGATGTTTGTTAGTACCACTTAATACCAGCATGTCTCACAATATTGCTGCAAAGGAATCTTCTTTGTGATTCAACAGACTAACTTAGTTTGTTAGAATGCTGCTAATGCAGATAAGTCTTAGTGGTTTGAAGGAAATATGGCATCTGTTTCTATTTCAGTTCCTGAAAGTTTGCCAGACCCTGTGCCACAACAAGGGCTGACTGAAAGTATTTCAATTGAAGTTTACTGTGGGAAAATGCTGATTCAGTGGAATCAGGAAATTTTTATGGGAATATGCGTATTCTGTCAAAATTTCCAGTGAAAGCAAAGCTATGTGACTTTCTGTCCTTCATGTAAGGCAACCCAGCTACCTCTGTGGCAGTACCCAATGGGAGCTCCAGACTGTCTGTGCTGTCCTCGAGCTGTGATGTTCCTTGCTTTCCAGCAGTTGTGCAGGCAGAAAAACCTTCAGGTTTGATGGGCAAACCAGCAGCCTCTCTGGTGTATTTGCAGAATTACCAGTTTGTCCAAATGATAAGTGGCTATGTATAAAACCAGGATTCTGATGCATATAAAATATTCTGTGACCATTTTGTATAGCTGTGAGCAAGTTCTTATCCTGTTATCCATTTCCGAGCCGTTCTCTTTGCATTTGAACTCTATCATGATAGACTTACTTGTTTGCTGTGGTTTTGACTGTGAGACGGAACAAAACTGTTGAATGAAAGCACAGTTTTTCCATGGAAGAAACACGGTTTTCTTCTGTTAATTTTCATCTAAATATTGGGAATGAGATTTGTGTTCTGTAGCTTGCTACAGTCATAGTATGGTGTTTTCTATGTTTTCTATGGAAAGGGGCTTAATAGATTTTTTTTTTTTTTTTTTTTTTTTTTTTTTAACACATGCATTAAAGGAATGAGATCTGATAAAGACTTTCAAATTTTACTTGACATTAATTTGGTTATGAATAGTGCAGAAAAGGCGAGTAATGATGTGTGGGAAACACACCTACTTGCTTCTACAATTAATAGTATTGCAAAGCCGTTTTTGAAGGTGGCCTTAATAATTGAAGTTGCTCAAATCCTTAGTACAACTCACTGGCAAGACACTGAACATGTACATACAGTCAGTGGGATCAGACTGGCATAAGGTCACTGTACTACAATTACTGTGTGAGTAATGAGGGAGATACCTGAGGCTTTATCATATCAAATCATGAAAACCTCCAAGGAATGGGTTATACTGCCTCTGTGGGCAACCTGTTCCAGTGCTTGTTCTCAAGCTATAATACTTGTAGGTACTGGAAGGCTGTGCTTAGCCCCCCTTGAAGCCTTCTCTTCCCTAGGCTGAACAAGCTTAATTTCCACAGCCTCTCCTCTGCGGTTATGTGCTCCAGTCCTCTTGCCCCCATGCTGGGCTCACTCAGGTTTAACATCAGGTTTAACGTCTTGTACTGCAGGGCATTAAACTGATCGCAGGATTGTAAGTGCAGTCTAACATATCTCTCTTTCCTTGATCTGCTTAGTGTGTATGCTGCCAAGGATACTGTTTGCTGCTTTTACTGCCAGCATCTGTTGCTGACTCCTGTTAAACTTGCTGTGTCCACTGTAGGACAAAGGATTACAATCCTTTTCACAGAATCATGGAATCACAAGAGTTGGAAGTGATTTCTGGAGATCATCTAGTCCAAGCTAAAGCATGTCCTGTACAGTAGGTTACACAGGAAAGCTTCCAGGTGGGTTTTGAATATCTCCGGAAAAGGAGACTTCATGGCCTTTCTGGGCAGCCTGTTTTAGTGCTTTGTCCCACTCACAGTAAAGTTTTTCCCCATGTTCTTATGAAACTTCCTATATTTCAGTCTCTGCCCATTGTCCCTTGTTCTGTTGCTAGCTAACCGCTGAAAAGAGCTTGGCCCCAGCCACTTGATTCCCACCCTTTAGATATTGATAAGCATCAATAAGATCATCTCTCAGCTTTCTCTTCTCCAGGCTGAACAGCTCCAGGACTCTCAGCCTCTCTTCATATGGGAGATGCTGCAGGCCCTCAGTCATCTTTGTGGCTCTCCTCTGGACTCTTTCTGTAAGTTCCCAGCCTTTCTTGAAGTGAAGAACCCAGAACTAGATCAGTACTCCAGCTGGGATCTTACCAAAGCAGAGTAGAAGGGAAAGATCACCTCAACCTGCTGGCCATGCTTTTTCTAGTGCACTTCAGGATACCACTGGACTTTTTGGCCACTAGTTCATACTGCTGGCTAATGGTTAATCTGTTGTCCACCAGGAAAGTCAGGTCCTCCTCTGCAGACATCTTCCCCAGCAAATCAGCCTCTAATCTGTACTGATGCATGTAGTTATTCCTCCCAGTTGTAGGACTCAGCACTTGCCATAGTTGAACCTCATAAGGTTTTTGCCCACTCACCTCTAAGCCAGTCCAGATCTTGCTGAATGGCAGCACAGCCTTCTAGTGTGCCAGTCACTCCTCCCAGCTTTGTATAATCATGCGGAGAATGCATTCCGTCCCTTCATCAAGGTCATTTTTGAAGAGCAGCTGAACTGCTCCCAAGGCAGTCAGTCCCTCATGGATACAGGTGCAAGGACTTATTCTTTTCCTGGTGCAAGACTTTGTTTTTGCTGAGTTATCTCAGGTTCCTGTCTGCCCATTGGTTCTGTCTGTATTGGTCTGTTAGGTCCCTCTTAAGTATTTTCATTGGTCTCCCAGCTTGGTTGTATCTACCGATAAGTGCTTTGCCACACCTTTCAGGACACTAAAAAATGCCAGAGGTCCCAGCATGGACTTCACGATATTCTCCTTTTTACTCTTCCAGGAAGAGAACAACCAGTTAGCAGCTCTAACCCTGATCATAAAACCTTTTTTTTTCCTTGCCAGTTGATCACCCATACAGATGGTAACTTGGACACAAGAATGCTGTGGGAGGTTGATTCCAAAGTCTTGCTAGAGCTGAGATGAATGACAGTCACCCTTCATTCCTCATCCACAAGCATAATCATTTTATCTGTAAAGGCAATTGGGTTGGTCAGGAATGATTTACCATTGGCAGATCAATACCGACTGTTCCAAAATGTCTTCGCCTTCATGTGATGAAAAATATTGTACAAGAAGACTTCCCAAGGTCTGTAGTGAAGCTGTGCCTATCGTTCAATTAGTTTAATTCTTTTTGTCTCTTCTTAAGATGAGTGCAACATTTGCCTTTCTCTAGTTGTTAAGAATCTCTGACAGTTCTGTCATGATTTTTCAAAGAGGGTGGCCTTACAAAGACATCAACCACTTAAAACCATTGGAAGTCCCATATTGGTCCTAATTGGAAGTTCTCCTGGTTGGTGGAATCATATAATTTTTTTTCCTCTTTTCTATTAATACGGATATATTTCTGACTCTCACTGAAGAGATTTATTCAATTTCCAAATGATTGGCAAAAACATCAACAAAATCACTGGATGCTGTCACAGCTGTGCTGGCACACGTGGCAACTATTGCCTGTGATACAGAATTTTTTTAGTGCTTGTGGTTTCTTGGGTTTATTTATTTTCGAGACTCATAATAAAAAGTGCTAAATCTCCTCTTGGTGATGTGGTGGAGGAAAACTGTGTGAGGAAACAACTTTTGTTCCCGATGACAGCAGGCAGAAGTAGAAACCCTGATGAAACTTGCAAATTGCCTTAGACCAGCTTACATAATAAAGTGGCCTATCTTCCTGCAGTTCTGATGGACAAGCCTCTCTAGACTAAACTTGGCCTTTGTGTTTAAGAGCTTGGAATTATAGCCAGGACCAAGTGGTTACAAGTATAAAGAATATATGTCATCCATATGCAAGCGCAAAATAAAGGGCTTCTTCCATTCTCCTTTCATTCCTAACTGTGGAGGAACAAAGAGATGATTCTAACCAGGATGTGTTCTCTATAGGCAGTACAATGTAATGTAGGATTGTACTGATCTGGTGGTTTTTTTTGTTGTTGTTTGTTTGTTTTGGTTTTTTGTTTTTTTTATGAAAGAGATGTAAAATCTGTATAACTGATTTCAATGGAATTACTCATGGTTTATGACAATGTATATGCAATCTGTATTTTTACTATGTATTTTTACAATCTTATTATTTGGTATTTCTGTAAGTACAGAAATAATTTTGTTATGTATTAAATACAAGATTAATATAATTTCCAATATTATTTTTTGTATAATATAGGATACAAAAATAGCTTCACTTGAGCGCAATATAAGAGACCTTGAAGATGAGATACAGATGTTAAAGACAAATGGAGTTCTGAATACAGAAGATCGAGAAGAAGAAATCAAACAAATAGAAGTTTACAAGAGTCACTCGAAGTTCATGAAAAACAAGGTAAAATCTATTAATATCTTAACATTGGTTAAATAATGTGAACAAAAGTTTTAACTAGACTCTTTCCAGCACTAGCATGTCTGGATGTTTTCTATTGGCAATTCTCTGCTATATGGTACTGTCGCTGTAGAAGAGTGAAGTATTTCAGTGAAATACTTCATGTAGTTATATCAGTTATATATTAACTTATGAGAGATAAGGAGGAGTCTATTCCAGTGCTCCTGCTGAGACAACTGCAATCATTAGTTTTTACACCATGTTCCCTTTTCACTTTATTTTGTATGTTTTAATGCTGTTTTTTTTTAATTATTTCATTATTTTGATTTGCAGCATTTTGGAACAATTTTATTTGTGCTTTTATATTTGATAGAAGTTTTACAATAAGGATTGCTGCTTCTTAGGTTGTATGAAATTAAGGTTTTTTTTTTTTGTATTTTAAAAACTTACAATTTAATGACTTTGTTCCTGCAATGTACCTTTCATTTAAAATCATTGTACATAGATAATTGGGCTGACAATCAGATTGTAAGTACGTAGTGGTAGAATACACATTTTCTTGGTAAAAGCCTCATACTTATTTTAAAATACATCAGAATTAAAGCCTTGTGTCTGCCTGGACTCTTTACTTCCTTAAATTTCAACCTACTCAGCTGCTTTCCGTGTAAAGATGAATTCTTTCCAAATACACTTTCTTGTGAGTTCTAAAACTACTTTAGAAAATTAGAAAAACTACAGTTTTTCTAATTGCCTTAAAATTGTAGTAAATTATACATAATGTTAGTATTTGTATTGGTTTATTCCTAGTCCTCCACCTTGAACATTTTGTTCATGAAACAATAAAATAATGAATTATGGCTCTTGCTTAAAATATGGAGATGTAAGCTGATACAACCATCCTTATCTATACAAATTTAAGTTTGGGTAGTAGCTCCAGCCCTCTAATCATCTTCTTGTCTCTCTTCTGAACCTACTCAAACAGCTCTACATTTTTCTTGTAGATGTAGACTGTTGTCATGTCTGAGATTGACTTGACCCATGTGCAACACCTTATATTTGGACTTCTTGAATCTCATTAGATTCCCCTAAACCCACTTTTCATGCTTGTCCAGGTCCCTTTGGGTGGTGTCCCTTCCTTCTATTGTATAAACTACGCTCACAGCTTGGTGTCATCAGAAAACCTGCGATCGAGCAGACAATTGATTGCACTCTGTCACTGATAAAGACTTGTTGAATTCTATGAAACTTTTAAACTACATCATAGGAGATTATGCTTTCTTGGGACAGATTATGCTTTCCTGGGACATCTGAGCATATTTTAATTTACGTGGATTTACACTGCTGAGGAAATGGAAGCATTAGTACCATGTGGAAATAATCCAATTTTATAAAAATAAAAACTCAAAATGCTGAAAATTCAAACAATGTATTATTTAAGTTCAAAAAACTAGCTCAGTAGCTTAAGAGTAGCTAAAGTTCTGGTTAAATTTGAAGCAATTCAGTTTTACTAATTTACTATAAAACTCCTAAAACATCTCAGCAAATCAAGTGATTAAAAATATTGTAAAATGTCTATTATTTTGTTAATTTTCTAATATCTTAGAGATGAAGAGGTTCAGTAGAGATTTTTGTCATGCAGAAAACGTATGAATGAGAAGATTGTTAAAGGTGTTTTTTCACAATCTTCTGACCTTTGATGAATGTCGCATTCTGATGAAATTTTGTCTGTTTTCTTTTACCAGTCCTTACTTCTTAAAGTAGGGATTTGTAGCAGAAGATATTATTTTATCATTCATCTTGGAACAATTCAAGGTGGAAAAATATTTATGTAGTTGTCAGCAAACAAGCCTTATACTCAATCTATTTAATGAGAGATTGTTGATAAATTCTGATTAAGAATTCCTGATTGATGGCAAAGATGGAAAAAAGCTCTTTTCACAGTTAGCAGTCTTAGGTGCTTATAAAGCTCTTAATACTTCACATTTATTCTTGAAATATAACTTGCTTTATAGCTGCTGTTCATTTCATTAAATGAGAAATGTTAAATGGAGGCCAATATAGAATTTTATTTATTGCACATGAAGAATTTTATTTATTGCACATGAATGACAGAGAATATTGGAGATAATTTCTTTAATAATTTTAATCATTCTTAATAATCAATCCTCCCAATTATTATAGCTTAAATTTTGACTTGCTGTGAAATAGAAAATTATAGAAATGAGAAAACTTGCTTTATGTTTTTTTTCTTGTCCAGTTAATGTTGCTTTACTTTGTATTTGAGTGGACGGGTATTACCATTATGGTATTGCATTAAGGATATGATGTTTCAGTATCCGTAATAAGGAGTTAAAGAAAACAAATAGAACAATACGCATTTTTGAGAGCTACGACTACCTTCCCCCATTTGAATAAGCACTCAAATATTTAAAGAAATATTGATGAATTTTACAGGCAAGAGTTTACACTGGCATTCAAGTAGTTCTCTGAGTTTTAGAGTTCTCATGTTCTTTACATGAACGAGTAGGAAAATCTAGTGACAGTTCAGTTCTGCTTTTAGAGCTGAGTTCTAAGAATTGTTAAAGTGAACTATAACAAGCTCTTTGTAATTAGAATTTATGTGCAATTACTTCTTACGTTACTTGAAAGAAGTTCTAGGTGATACTGTAAAAGAAATATACTAAAAAAAATTACACCATTTTTTTGAGGACAGATCTGGATCTGTTATAAAAATGTAAAAAAACAACCAAACCTCTAAATAATGCACCAAGAAATCCAAACCAACCAACCCCCCACTTCCCCCCCCCCAAAACACTTTACACCAAAAACAAGGGCTTGCACAATACAGACTTTAGAAACTACAGATAAGTGTCTAATTTACCTTGTGCAGCCACTTCACCTCACTTGCATTGCTGTTCTTTCACTTAAGTTCTTCATTCTAAAAAGCAGGTATCATTTGTCACAAAAAGCCTGACTCCTATGATATATAAATCAGCATTGTTTCATTTAATAGAATTATTGACTTAAAGATTTAGGCCTTTGATTTTAAGCTATGCAATATTCAGGGAAAATGCTCTGATTGTTTTTGTTTGCTTGCTTTTTTCTGTATGTAGTGTCACATAAGACTTTTGCTATGTAAATCAATAATATAAGAAAAAGGATAATAATTGTATGGAAAAGTTAGTATCTAAGGAAATGACAATTATTAATTGAGAGAGAAGGCAAAGGAACTAGGGTTTCAGCAGAGGAGGTGAAAGTCATAGGGGGCAACATAGGAAAAGTGGCGACAGGCAAATTAAATACATGAAATGGGAAGGTCATGATCAGAGCTCTGTGAGTGCTGTAGTGCGTAGACTTTTCATTGTGGTCTTTATAAAGTACAAAAATGTTCTCACTTTCTTTTTTTTTATTGGAAGATTTCACTGAATCATACTGTTGATATTCTATACCACTTATTGTAACAAAGTGAAAATGTCTGTACATCTGCAGGAAAGAAAATGGCTTCAGGCCATTCAAGGTTTTTTTTTTTTTTTTTTACAGGATAATAGTTTCTGCAGGGCTTTTAGAAAATGAATATACCCAAAAATAAAAACTTGTCTTTAGAAGTAATGTGTTTTTTTCCTATACCTTTCATATTTTTGATACATTATTTTTAAAATTGAAGTTTTAGTACATTTTTATCTTTATTCTTTAATTAAACATCAGCCAAAGGCATGATTATTTACCACAGATTTTTTTTTTGAGAGTTATAGCCAATTTTTAAACTTCTGGCTGTTTCTGGGTCTTGTAGCCAAAATGAAAGAATAAATGCTGTTTCTGAAACACGAAGAACATACCTGTGATGAAAATCAAGCTTTTGGAAAGAGGTTGATTATTTCTCAGAGTGTGGGTTGTATCCTCGAAACAAATGGGAAGACTTTCTAGGAGAGATTGTGTTTCTGATGTTCGCATAGGTCTCATGTAATGCATGTGACGAAATTCAAGTTGGCTCCAGATCTATTTTTTGTCTTCATATGCTGTAGACAGATTTTCCTACTGTTCATTTCATATACGTTTGTGTCTCAGTTTCCATATTTGATTACATGTTCTGGCAAGGGATGGAAGAAGGTGGTTTGCTTTTAAGAGGATTTTCTCTCTTGCACTTTCCTAACTGCCCTTTTTAATATTTTCTTGACATCTGTTTTTATTATTATTATTATTTTTGTATGCCACTTTTCTTATTTTGATATTTCAAGATTGTGAAGATGATTAATGATTGTTTTTAGTTCTTGCATGGATTCTTGATTTCATACAGTAGCTCAGGGTTGGCTGGCCAAGTACCTTAACCACGTATGCAGATGTACTGAGATTTATGCAGAGAAATAAGGAATAAATGTATTGTCATGCATATGGAATATATTTTTGGAAGAAATAGTATTTTTATTTAATGTGTAATGAAACAAAATGTAGAAAAGTGCATAACTAAATATCAAAGAAATAATTTAATCAGCAGAAAATATTTCTAGTGACTGCACTATGCAGTATTTAATCGGTGAATCCTTAGAATTAAAGCTCAGTGGGATCAACATATGGGTATACATACATGCATATGAATACATATATATATATATTATTATTCTCTCCTTTTGAATAACCTATCTAGCCCTTCTAGACTTCTTGCATCCAAATGTCTGTTGGGATGCAATTGAATTAAGAGAATAAAAACCACTGTTATAGCACTTCTATAATCATTGCAGAAATGAAACTTGAATTTCAAAGGTCTGTAGGTCTACTTAAAGTCATCAAGAAAACTTTCCAAGTATAAAGGAAACAAGGTTTCCCTGAACTATGCAGATGTATTCAGGATTCTTATTTCAAATAATTCTCATGAGATGATCTATCTGAACTCATCTGGTGACCAGTATTACGTCATGGCACTTTAAAAAATACAGTTACGTGTCACCTAATTTGCCATATGTTAGCATCACTCTTTGTGTTGTCCAGTGCTTTGTTCAGATTTGCACATTCTAAATCTACCACTCTTTTGTATTCTGTGGCCACCCCTCCTGCTTAGCATTATGGAAGGGGAAGAATGATCACGGTTCCTTAACATCTATTGATATACTTTGAAATTCAGAAGCTCCTTCCTAAGAATCACAGAAACACCAAGGCTGGAAAAGACCGACAAGATCATCCAGTCCAACCATCCACATATCACCAATAGTTCTTTCTAAACCATATCCCTCAACACAACATCCAAATGTTCCTTGAACACCTCCAGGGTTGGTGACTCCACCACCTCCCTGGCAGCCCGTTCCACTGCCTGACCAGTCTTTGAGAAAAGTAGTATTTCCTAATGTCCAGACTGACATAAGAACGTGTTTCTGCTGTTTCCCCTAGGATATGTTTTTACATGCAGTCTCACAGATGTTTTACTCGGAATTTTTTTCTTAACGTTTTCTTCAGACTTCTCTTAAGCTAATCTCTTTGGCTTGGCTTTTCTAGTACCTGGAATTCCGTAGGAATGGCCAGAAAGGAAAAATGGAGGTGGGGATGGTGGGCAGCAGCAAGTCTGCAAGAAGAGTAATGTTAAATTTCTTCTAATCTTTTTTTCCTCTCTTTACTAAGATGCCTGCTTTTTCTCATCAGGCTCCTAAAAGCCTTGATTCATTTGAACCAGTGATAACTTAAGTCACAAGAATCACGCTGTTGGAAGGAATAGGCTACTGGATTGAATTTATACTTTTATGAAAACTTTTTTTCCTACGTATGTTTTCTATCCTGTCAGACTTACCTCACACAGGATAAATTCTTTTGAACTTAAGTGAGTTCTCTGGTTAATTTATAGGCCAAATCACTATATTTAAGCTTTAAGAGTTTCCTTTTTAATTTCAGCGAGAGCATGACAATCATTCTTAAAACAGAGTGCTTGAAATTACGTGAGGTTGTGACCATTTTAACAGTTCGCATCTTAATTCTTATCCAGAATTTACAGGAGATATGAGTTACGTTATTATTTTGTTCATTCTCACTTTCCAGATTTCAAGTGCAACCATGAATTGAAAATAAAATTAACAATTAAATTAAACTGTTTACTTTCCCCGTTACAGATTGACCAACTGAAACAAGAACTCTCAAAGAAAGAATCAGAACTTCTTGCCTTACAAACTAAGCTTGAAACCCTTAGCAATCAGAATTCAGATTGCAAGCAACACATTGAAGTGCTTAAAGAGTCACTTACTGCCAAAGAACAGAGAGCTGCCATACTTCAGACAGAGGTATGGTATCTTCTGAACATAAAATGTGATATGAATGTTTAGTTAATAATGTTTATTGAGCTGATCATATTTGTTTGAAGACTGTATAGAAGACAATTTGTTGAAGTATAGTATAGAAATGATTTTAAGCCCTTGAAATATCAATCTATTTGATACCTATATCTATATTTATCTATGTATTAGGTCACGCACCAGATCTTTTTATCTAATTTATTTTAAAAGTATCTGTGAGTGCAATTTGAGAAACTGTGTCTAATTCTCTTTGGGTTCAAGGTGGAACTATGGCCAAATGGCTTGATTGTCGTGATTTCATTTTTTCATCTGTCAGATTACTGAGTTTGGTTTTGACTGCTCTGGTCTGATGCTCTAGTCTGAAGAATTAATGTCCTAATGAATTTTCAAGGGGTCTGTACAAGGGTACCTGATATTAATCTGTGGTTCTTTCCAATGCAACAGTCTTTGATTTAAAAAGTATAAGTTAGTTCCATTCTTTAATTTGGGTAAATGCACGAGTTATGTGTGTATCTACAAAAACAGATCATAAAAATATGGGGAATGGAATACAGGGTTGAGGTGGTTATTACATTTAATGGAATCCAGTGTTAAAAGCATTGTCTGTTTTTTTTTTTTTTTTTTTTTTTTTTTTTTTTTTAAACAAACAAACAAACCCACTTCATAGACTTGGAACATTCGGAACTATTTAGATTACTTCTTTTTATTTTACTTTAAGGGGTGTACCCCTTTCAAGGGCATAAATGTCAGTGAAATTCAGTTACACAGTGCAGCTGGTTTCTTTTCAGAGAAGTACGTTACTTGAAGTATGAGAGTCTAACATGATCTTCAACTGCGCAAATCTGTTTTGCAAGGTTTGTAGTACCTATTGTGCTGCTGAGGATAATGCTGAATTCCGGTGGCTCTCCACTAATTTGATTTCCTAATTCTTTATCAGACCAGCATGTATTCAAGACATCACAATCTTACTGCTGGCAGATGGGCAGTGGTGAAAAAAACCAATAAAATAATAATCATATAATCAAGCAGAGTATTTATTATAAATTGATATATAAGTATGGAAGAATGTTATTTGCTTTCTTTGACAATCAAGAACAACAAATGTATTACTTGTGTCCAAGTAAATCCATAGATCAGAAAATAAAGCTTCTGCATAGCTGATGTGCTTATTGTAATGGTGCATTAATCACATATTTGGAAAATGCTCAGGATTTTAGCAAATTTTTTACCACTCTTTGATATGTTAGGGAGTTCTTCTGGTCAAAAGTGCCTCTTTCCCGGAAACTAGTATATTACAACTTCCAGACTGGTTTATTGGAGAGATTCTGTTAAACTATGGCTATCCTGCAGAAATCTGCTGGAACCCTGAGCAGCGCAGAAGCTGGACAGCAGTCTGTGTAGATTGGTTACATTGCTTCTTATCACCATTTAAACAGAACCAGAAAGAACATAAACTGCAAGAAGGCATCTCAGTAAAAATTATGAACTAGGGCCCATTCATTGGGTTCCAAAAACTTTGAGGTGTGGTGTTAGCTATGAGACGGCTGAAATCAAGCTGTCTGTGCTGCTTGCGTTTTGTCTTTTTCAGGATGGAACTGCCTACTTCTTTCTCTTATTTCTTTTTCATGCTTACTTGCTCCTTATATCTTTTGACTGGGCTGTGGGCCAAAATACAGCAATAAAAATTAAATAGTTATTTTAATTTTGCATTTCAGTTAGCAAATTTGTGTCTTCTGACTGTATTTTCCTGTTACTGAGATGTTTCCTGAAACATACGAAAATCTTTTTATTATGAATGATGGAAATAAACTAGAATTACAACTTTGACAGGAAAGTTCATAATGGTGTAGATCTAGTAAATCTGTTCTAAACTCCCTTTTACCTACTCTTAGTTTTGTGGGAAGTCTTTTGTATAACTATTCCACAGATATAATCTTCAAATAGCTCAGTTGTGTCTTTCTTTAGTACTTGTGAATGTCTTGTCTTTTAAAAGGAGCTTCTTCGGTTTAGAGATTGTGGTTTAGTCAAGGGAAAGTTTATTTTTTGTGAATCTTTGTGGGAAATTCTACTTTTCCCACAGGCTGTGTGTGAGACCAAATGTGGTATAGATGTAATCCTATGTATTGGAAAAGGCCATAGGTACTTGGTTTCTGATATAAGTGTTAAGATTTGTTAAATCAAACAACAGCAAAAAAGCAAAAGATCCTTTAAGGAAGCTTGTACTTCTCTTGTAGAAAAAGAGGTTTATGCAACATGAGAGCCAAGAGAGCTGATGGCACGGAGGGTCTTTCAGTGCATTAAGAATAGGGTTCAACTTGCTAAACACTTGAAAATGAGCAAGTGTGCTTTACATAGATGCACATGCATCCACCATTGAAGGTGGATGTGGAATTAAAATATGATTTTGTCATCTGCGCACTCTCCAAGACCTGGGTTTAAAGCTGAAAAAGCTAATCTGTACTATGGCTGTAATACAACATTGATTCTGAACGTAGCAGGTTTTTTTCTGCAGTGTAGAATTAGGAAAAGATTTTGTCTGCTTATAGCACATGAATCTTCAATCTTCAGGCCTCAGGTCTTATCTGAAGGGAGGCTGTTTGGTTCCAGCAGTAGATGGAAAAGCAGCTGTGGGGAGATGCAGGGTGAATGGCAGCCCTCCAGCAGGTGGAAAGCATTATGGAAGGAATTTTGTACTGTACAAGGTATTGTTTGTAGTTCCCAGATGAGTAAAGTTAATAACTTCTTGGCCTGCATTAAGCCCCACTCCTTTCTTTCTGCATGTCCAATTCGTCTTTTTGCAGAATATATTTTGTTAATTATCACTGTAGAATTTCATGCTGTCCTAAAACAAGATCATAAAACAAGCTGCCTGGGAGGGCTTCTTTCTAGAAGTAAAAGTAACCAGAAAAGGTCAGTTCTAATCCTGAGCTGAAGTGTTGCAGTGTTGACTCCCTGCCTAAACAGGATTACTTTGTAATCACCTTATACTAATTAATTCAGTTCAGTAAATTTTGTACTAAAATAATTTTTTTATTTGATCTTAATTGCTTTATAACAAGACTTTTATTATTTGCCTTAATAATAGTATTCTAAGGCTGTCTTCAGGTTTTGGATGCAGCAGCTGCATGTGAAGCGATAGCATCAATATGAATGTTTCTATCAGCCCTTTTCTTCAGTCCCTCTGCCTGGCAGGATGGCCTCTGATGTATCCTCCCAGTTTTCTGTCATCAGCAAACTTTCTGGGACCTTATGTTGCTTCCATCATCCAGATAAATAATGAGTTGAACAGTACTGGATCCAGTATTGGGTTTTTCATGATGTCACCACAATTAAAACTTTTTTTTTCAAGGATAGTTTAAATTTGAGCTTATAATAACAATTTGTTTTAGTAGTAAAAGATGAAGTGCAAGCAGAGATATAATGATCTTTTAGTCTCTGCAGAATATTAACTACTGCTGAAAAGCATCACCAGTTTTTTCTGTCTATTTACATATAATAGCAGAGGACATCTGGAATTTTTGATGAACATAGTTAATATGCTTTGAAAAAAAGTAAGTGGAAAAGATTTCAGATACAAAGGATTTTTGTCACATGCTCAGAGAAAATTACTAAAACCAACAGTAAATATGTTAAGTCTAGATCTAAACATGATGTGCTTTTCGTTCTGTTTTTGCATTGTCTTAGTGATGGCAGTGGTTTTTTTTATAGGCTTCTTTGACTTAAAAAGCTATCATCTAAAGTTTTTATTGACGGCTGAAACAAAAGAATATAATCCCGTAAAGCAATAACTATCATGGTGGCCAGAGTTGGGAGGTCTGAAAATAGTTTATTGCCAGGAAAAAAGTTTGGAGCCAGTTCTTAGAAGGTTCACCACCTCTGCTATATGCATTTCATTTTGTTCCATTTTAAGGGTACATATGATAATAGAGCCAAACCATGCAAACTTTTCTTACCCTGATGTGTATAGCCTTTGTTTTGATTCTGTGCTTATTAATGATGTGACAATGCTGAGGTCAGATAAAAGTGAGCCAAGGTCAGGCTATTCCAGCTACAGAATACTGAAAATGTCACTTCACAGAGAATTGCTAAAAGGAAGGATGTTAGATTAGATTTTCTTTGTCCTTGTGTAGAAGCTTTATATGTTACAGTTTAAAGTGAAGTCTTTTAAAGAATAGGAAGGGGGTTAAATAGCTCAAATGATCCTTTTTGATTTAAACAAATCTGACTACTGTTACTTGGAAAAGTGAAAGATGGTACAGCTTGATACTATGTTTGTATGCTGGTATTTGACTTCTGCTCTTACCGTCAGGAAGAAATCTGATGTAAATTGGTGTGAATACATTCACTTCAGCTGTGTATCTCAGTGGAGAAAAATATTTCAGAATTTCTGAAATTCCTCAATTTCAGAAGCAGCTCTGACAGAAGCTACCTTAGCACTTCAGTGTATCACTGCTTTAGGTAGCATAGACATAAACTGGCAGATGTATTTTGTGAAATTGTGAAATCTGAATACCTCCACAAAGAGATTTTGTGAATTATAAGCTTAGTCTTACCAATGGAGAAGGGTTTGTAAAATCTGAGCATCTGCGTTTTAAAACAGAAAAAATAATAAAATTGAAGAGGAAAGATGATGATAGTAGAGATTTATTGCAATCCATTTCTCTTTCAAAATGAATCTTTTTATGAAGAGAGGCTGGGAAGTCATTGACTTCTTGTCAATTCTCTGTGTAAAGAGCCGGTGAATGCAGACAGCGCGGAAGATTTGGAATAAAACCTTTGCTTTACATTGTTACAATGTTGACATTTGTTATCACTTCAAATGTAAGGCTTTCTAACTTCGAAATAATAAAATGTAACAGGTTATTTCAGTCAGAAACAGCACATCACCTTGTTGTTTTATAAAATAATTCAATTAGCCTAAATGGCATTTTTAAAGTAAGATATACTGTGATAAGATAAATTAAGCTTCAGTTAGGTTTGATTATAGT